AAAAAAAAAAAAAAAAAAAAAAAAAAAAAAAAGAAGAGTCAGTGAGTGGTGTCTGGCTCCTGGCTACAAAGGCTTGCCATAGATAAACCAGAATTATTCTGCATCTGGTTGACAAGACATGCAGCCTTGCCTCTGTTGTTAGTAGCCAACTCTTGTCTTAGGTTCCCCTTCCTTCCTCCCTACTAGCTAGTCATTTTAACAGACTGACACGAATACAAGACAAAGAAGAAAAAAATAGTTCTGCTTTTCCATCTGTATGCAGCCAAATAATATGTACGTAAACAACGTTTAAAAACAGAAGGTACCATTCACAAGCGATGAAGTGCTGCCTTCCTTCCTAGAGACACTTAGCAGCCATGACAGTCTTGTTCCCACAAAGGAAATCTCATAGCCCAGTTGACTACACCAAACTGCAGAATTTTGGGTTTGCATCACTCATCAAATCTGTAAGCCCAGTGAAGAATCAGAGGCTGTGGGGTTTGTGCATGAGGTAGCAAAAAGTTCTAGAAATATACATGTTTTAATGACTACGAGATGGTTGTATTGAAGCTCACCAAAATTCATGACTAATACAAATCTTTCAAAATAATGCTTCTGGATATTCCTTTCATTTAAATAAACTCTGTAATTGCCTTCAACCCTCTAGCTATTTTCAAGTCTCATACATCCGTGCGGTATTGCAATTTAATTGATACACTTCTTTTCTTCAGCCATGATGCTTTTGTACCTTGGAGAGAAAAATAAATACATAAATGTAAACAGATACTTACTGACATTTTTTATGATAAAGTTTAAGAAACAATTTTAATGAATCTCTGCTTTCCTGGTATGGAGAAACACAATATTAAGTTAAATTTGTGCATCTAGTTTGTTTATTTCTTTAAGAAAATGTGCCATTTTGGTCAGTGTATGATACAGCACTGTCTGACCGATCAGCAATGTGTTTTCTAGATAAAAGATACGCTAAAGCTTTCCAGAATATACTTATGTAAACATTTAAATCAAAATTATTTCTTTTTTTTTAGGTCACATTTTAGAAATCCATATTGCAAACATTATAGCCTTATCATCATAGGATGTGTAGTTTTATATTTCCAACATGTGTATGAGCATTTATTAATTGTTTCAATTTCTTAAACATATTTGCCCCACCTCTAGCAAGCTACCTGCTATCCAACCACAAGTGGTATTGGCATTGTATATTGGACTTGAGAAAGTAGAAAAAAAGATCTGAACTCCCTCTAGTTTCAGCTGGGAGAAACTGAGGCTGGATGAAAGTTAAAGCATTGCTGTCTTCCCTGTGTTTTACCCGTTTCTCACTACAAATGCCTGCACATCTAGCAGTCACGTGACAGGTTTTACATTAAAAGACTTCATGTGGCAAAGTACTAAAAAGAAAGGAAAGATGGGAAGGCTGGAATATGCTAGTTTGGCTGCAGCAGGAGACCAAAGAACTAAATTGTGCAGGTATGAACAGTGGCATGTAATTCAAGATGAACGTAAAGGAACAGCACCAGCACGCAGGGCTAAAATCAGCTAGGCTATGTCCCAACTCCTCCAAATGAATTCTGCTGGCACCAGAAAGGTCTCTAAATATGTTGAAATTACAAGAAGGGAAACATCACAGATTATGCGAGAAGAGTAGCTTTCTACTTCAGACATCACCAAAAAGTTAGTTGTAATGAAGCGTTTAATTAAATTACTTCAGTGAATGACTGTCAGCTCTCAAGCAAAGGCATACAACAGAAGATTACGTGACGGAACAGAGAAATGGTCATCATTCACTGTAAGGCAAAAAAGTAAAGCTATTCCCAAAGTCACACTTGGGGATAAGGAACTTTTGTATAAAACAGGGATGATCTGAGTGACGCTGTAGTTAGTTAGTTAGTTGAAAAAGATCAGGGCTTGACTTAACGCAAGCTAAGAAAGTCAGCAGTGGGATACTGTTCCCTAAAATGGGGCCAGATACTGGAAAAGAGAACAGTGGCTGTTATGAAGAGGATAGTTATCAATGCCTGCTGCAGCCACTTAGGGAGATGACAAGAGATAATCAGCTTAATTCGAAACAAAGGAAATTTTCCTTAGGTGTTGAGAACAATTGTTTAAGTATTAGAGCCTATAAATTACTGGAATAGCTCTTAGGAATTTTATGAATTTTCCCTCACTGGATACTGAACAGAAGAAATTAGACAAACACATTTGGTGTATTTCGTGCTGCTTCATTGCACAAGGGCGGACTAGATAATGACTCCCAAACCGCTGTATCTGTGATGGTGGCTTGACTCTACATGTACCTGAATTTTCTTCCCACAGAGGACTCCGGTATAACCAGGACGACAAGAGCATACGTTAGGCAATACACACTTGCCTCCAAACAGACACTTCTGGTTGCACACAGCTAAAACAAGAGAGGTACATATGTGGCTTTACTCATGAAAACAACTTGGTGAAGGAAAAGTGGCTACTCTCTCTATATACTTATTCTGCTTGCTTACAGGAGCTGAGAACTTGGTAGGTATTTTCACAGGGAACATCCCTCAGTGTAAGGAGGCTTCACAATCCTGTGGAGCCACAATGTTCTTACGCCTATCCCATCCCCCTTACGCTTTGATGCGGATTTAATACGGGAACATGCTGAGGGTGTGAATCGGACTGCGCGAGGGACATGAGTAAGGTGGTTTTTAATGCATGTTACTATCTCAAGCTATTGCAATGGCCTCTCAGGGCTGTTGCAGCAGCGTACAGTGTTAGAGCAAGCCACTGCATACTGCCGTGGTCCCACACCCCAGACTACCATCGTTCTGGAGGGCTTCAAAACAGGCAGAGGAATCTCTATTCTTTATCCTGCCTTTGACACAGCTTTGGGTTAAAATATAACCAAGGCATAGGACTTCTAGGCACTACATATGGCTGAAGCGTTCTTAACTGTGCTGAAGCAAGAGGTTTCAGGTCACATCATTCTTACGTGTTTGACACTGGATTCCTTCCCACTGCGGAGGACAATGACACGTACTCGGTCCAATACACTCCCCACCATTCTTACATTCCTGAAGACAGATTGCTGCACAAACATCATCACAAAGTTTGGTTATATCCCAAGTCATTATTTACATTTCAGGATGCCCACGAGAGGTCGCGTGCTTTCCATACACAAGAGTCACATCATCTTCACTGAAAATCCATCTGAGATCAACAGGATATTAAAGAAGAGAGGCAACAAGAAACAAAAAGCCCTACAGCCAAAGCATGCATCGAGAGGTTCTGATGCATCACAGATTGCTACAAAAGCCTGAAATACTGAATTAAGTCAGCACCACTAAATAGCATTGTTTTTTCCATATTTACCTTTCTAAAACCCACACCTTAATGAGAGATCTTTTGTCTGTCATGCAATTTAACACACGGTGCATCAACTCATGAAGATTTGATCCAAAGTTATTTTCTATGACCCATTTTTCTGCACATTCGTCCCTGCTTATTAAGCCATAATCTAAACCATTATTATTTCTCATTGGTTAACTGACTATTTGATAATCAAATCTCTCTCCCACAGTGTCCGAGAATATCTCACTCCTGTCAATATGGGTAATATGTTTTTCAATAAAACTTTCCAATAATTACAGAAAGTAATACAGGGGAAATATTGTTTTTCCTCCACGCCATTAGAGAGCTCATTGGCCATATCAATAGCTGAGCCTCGGGTGGGTACTATGACAGACGCTAACACTTTATCTATTGGATTTCTACCACCCAGCCTCACACTGATTTTCATGCAGACTGTGCTTTTATCCATGCTGCCACTTTATTTATGCACCATCAATATCTTCATTAAGATACAACGTGACCCACAGCTGTGCTACCATCACAGTCCTATTTCTACCTTTCCTGAAGAGCTTGTACCCATTGCATCTTCTATTCCCATCACTTCCCACTATGTTTCCCCAGTTTTCCAATCTTTCACTGTACTTCTTTTTCTATTGTATCTGCTTTTATGTCCTACAGCACAAATTGACATTCTTTGACTCGGCTCTTTGCAGAAATACAGATGTTTCTTATTTAGACAAGAATTAAGAAAGAAACGTTATTTGCCATACAAGAATTTAAAAGATATTTTGGTCTTGTGATTTAGCCTAAAAGAACTGCATGGTATTAGTTATCCTTCCTAAATTTTGCTGCCACGTGATAGACCATTATTTTTTCAATATGTGTATATTCTTGAGTTCTTTGGCACTAACTTCATATTACGTGTGTGGACAGAGTTGTCCTTAGTCATATATTACTTTTAAGGCATGGTTCTCCTGTTAACTACAAGATACTCACGAGTGTTACATCTTTTTCCTTTCCATCCTGAAGGACAAGAGCAAATGTTTGGCCCTACGCACCTTCCTCCATTCATGCACCTTGGCTCACAGACACCTTAAAATCAAAAAACATCTGCTGTTTAATACATTTAACTGATATTACAGAATAATTTATTGTTTACTTTCGGATCCTGGAAGGATTTTAACACTGGCTTACTTTTTTCACATCTTCTGCCCATGTACCCATCAGGACAAGTACAGACATTATTTCTCATGCAATGACCACCATTCTTACAAGGCGGGCTGCAGACAGCTAAAAGATACAAAAACAGGAGGAAAAGGCTGTAGTTTGCATTTTGTTTGACTTCGTGATATACGTCTAGAAAACAAGAGTGCAACACAAATTCTGACAGCTTATATAGACATTCAGCACTATCAATCAGGCCTGTCTCATAAAAATCATATTAATGTGGTTTGGTGCCTGCATCAATTGTAAAAACAGAATCAGAAAAAAGGGGTCAAGGTTAGCAACTGTATGTGTACACAAGTAACCAGACTACGTAATATACACGGGAACTGGTTGAACGCTGCTCAAAAGGTGAGTGGAAGACAAGGCAAATTTTGAGTCTCCCTTCTCCTTGGATGTTCACTGAATCAGCCATAAAAATCTAAAAAATAACATAATCTCTGTTTTGCACCACTTCTCAGGTACGTGACTTGATAATGAATTTTGTGTCTTAAGATAACAATGTTTTCTTACAGATTTCCTCATAATGGCAGCTAAGAGGGGAGGGGGAAGGAAAAAAAAAAATATTACCATTCTGACACTGGGCACCAAAGAATCCATGTGGACAGAGGCAAACATCTGGCTTAGTACAGGAACCACCATTGAGACACACAGGGTCACACATCGCTGCAGAAACAGGGTCAGGAAGAGTGGGAAGCATGACATCCAAATAAAGTCTATAAAATATGTGCTTCTATTGCAAGGACAGGAATTAAACACCTAAGATAACTGCAGGTAACACCATGCACATAAAATCTTTACCCAAAATTTTAGGATCAGTATTAGACTTCCTAGAGGTGCTGATGGCAGCAGAACTAACATGCAGAGACAAGAGGGAGCGCGGAGGCTCTGTGGCAGTAAGCAGCCACCCATCGCTGCTGTCTGAGCCACGTGGTTCCAAATTTCAAACTATCGGAGGTCCTATGGATGCTCTCCCGGGAACATGGAAGTTGCAGGAGTGTTACCTGTACTGCATGTAGGTCCGTACCACCCAGGTTTACACTGGCAGATGTCTGGAGTAAGACATTCACCACCATTTTCACAGTGTCTGTTGCAAACCACTATGATCCAAGAAGTCGGGCAAAAACAAAGGAGAAGGGGTCAGGGAGGAGACGGGGCAGGGAGAGAGAGAAAGAGGTATGTTACAAATTATGCTTGATTCATTTTTCAGTTCTTTCCCAAATATTAACACTGGCAATAACATACAATTCCACTAGTTGAAGAGGAATTGCTGAATAGATTAATCCAGATGCAAAGCCATAAAAAGCTAGCATCAGACTATAAAGGTAAATAAAATGTCTTTCCATGTAATTATCCATGGTTATAGTTTAACCACTGGTTTCAGTGTTAAAAATCTAGAAAATTTCAAATAAATTCTAAGAAAAATAGGAAATTCAATACTAAGAGACAAATAGACCATGTTACACGATGGATTTGATGGACTCCAAGAAAGTTCACTCAAGTGTCCTCCATCACTTCAGCAAGTGCAGCTGCGTGCATAGAGTGACACGAGACTAACAAGCAAAGACATTAAAATATCATGGCTGTGGAATCACTTCTTTAGGATAATATCTCATTCTCTTTAGTATTGCTTAACAAAAAGAGCTGCATTTTTTTTTTTGAAATTGAAACTAGAACAAGAAAAACCGAGAACAAAGAGTCCTGGGATTTGAGGAGGAGAGGAACAAAGGACTTTCTCAATTCGGGGTCAATAATGCAGTGGCACGTTCAGGTGAATGACATATAAACAGCATGCCTAAATTTGGACTCTCTGAATGATAAAAATTACCGGTGTGAAACCCACCCAAAATTTGGAGTTGCCAAATTGCAGCATGTAGAATTCGGTATGTAAAAGACAATTTATGTGAGACTAACTAATTCCAATTTTTCAGCTATGATCACAGCAAATTTTCCAATTTTCATGCCAGGTAAAAAAAAAAGACCCCATAATGTGGTTCTGAATTCAGTTTTCTTGTATCCCAGTTCTTCTGACCCGCCATTCACTGATACCAACTTCTGAATGTACCCCAGCATTTAACCAATTTAAGACGATAGAAGTTAAAAAGCTGTAAGGACATATTAAACATCTCTGTTTGTTCTGAAGGTAGTATCACACACGCAACGTGCTCATTGTTTCCACGTTTATGAATCATAAATAATAAACCATTTGCAATTTTTATAGTACGTTATGTTTCCAAAGTTACATGCAAATACTATCTAACCAATGTTCGAAAAGCCCAAGTACGGGAGCCTTCAAAGAGGCATGGGTATCATGTCATTTGCTAGCATTAGACGGAGTGCATCAAAAACTTAAACCATCATTTGCTTTCTTGCTCCTGAAGAACAGAAGAAACGTTCTGTATTCTTCCCTTACGCTTTTTTGCTTACTTGTATCACATCTTGGTCCCACAAAACCATATGGGCAGGTGCAGAGATTTCCAGCCAAGCACGTGCCTCCGTTTTGACAGGGTGGTTTACAGTGTGCTGCAGATATAGAATTGTATCGTTCAAGAAATCACCTCTAAAAAGATGCATGGATTGGTTATGCGTTAGGAAAAAGGAAATGTTAATAATTGACAGTGAGCAAAGAACTGGAAATAAAATAAGGAGATCTATGCAATGCCTTTTGGCAAGAATAAGTAACAAGAACAACTTAATTCCAACAGAGTACACAGAGTCCCAACAGTGGTGGTCACCCTGAAGAAAAGAAATCTGAGACAATTTCCAGACAGGACTTCCCACTCTTCAGGATTGTTTAGCTTAGAGGCTTCTACATTCACTGGTGAACTCCTCCACTTACTGTGAAAGCTAAATTTAGGAATATCCAATCACAAGCAACATTTACAGTGTATATCAAAAAAAGTAGGGTATATACCAAGAAGTTACTCAAAGAGTTCTGTTAAAGTAAAAGTAAAATGAACACACCTATTTGCTGTCAGAATGAACAGTCATGGAAGGTATTTACAGCATCCTTTGGGTATTTATGGATTCAAAAGAGAAAAATATTCCATTTACCTTCCTCACAAGCGGAGCCACTGTATCCTGGTAGACACTCACAGACATCGGGCTTAATGCACTTCCCATGGTTTTTGCAATCAGGTCTGCATAGAGCTGTGCAAAAAATCAACAGTGACCTTCAAATCATTAATTTGTGGATATGAGTTACCACACGCTAAATCAAAATGCCATACTCACCAGCCTGACAGTTATAACCAGCATAACCAGGCTTGCATTTGCAAATATTGGGTGCTACACACTCCATATTTTTGCCACATGTTTGTCTACATCTTGCTGAAAGGCAATGGACAAAACAAAGAAGGGAATAAGGAAAATGAAAGTGGCATTTCAGTACAACGGTGTCTTGCCTAACATAATGAACAGATCACATAGAATCCATTAGGTCCCTGCCCATAAGTGGGGAGCCTGAGACGCAGCAGAAAAATATTTTTAAGTGCATCCATACAACTAAAAGCCTGTAGGCTTTCCCAATATTAATAATGAAAATGAGAAAATTCAATACTCTATGCATTTCACTGATCACACAGTAACAACATACTTTCAAGTTATAAAGATGTCACAAGATTCTTCCCTGCAAAGCATTTAGTGTAGTTATCTGTAATACCTCTGCAAGTGAAGCCATCTCCATAATAACCATAAGGACAACGACCGCACTTGATGCTTCCATCCTGACTTGGCTCACAAGGTACGCCAGGAAAACAGGGTAAATCGGTACAGGTTACTGCTTTAGGAATCACTATTTCACTCAATTCTTCAGGAAGCATTTTTGGCGGGACAGTGACTTCAACAAGGACAAAAGGTAAAGGACTCGCTTTATGCTTGGCTAACAGGTGCTGAACTCTGTGAGCATTTCCACCTTTGAATACTTTGCTTGGCAAAGAAAGCCCTTTGCTTATACTTGTTCTGCTGCTAGGAGAAGTCTTCCTGCTGGTCTCAAAATAGCTGTAGGCCTCCACTTGTGCCCTGGTTTTCTTCTCAGGTGATACAGCACGGCTCCTTGAAGATGCAGTCATCACAGCATCTACTGAAGAACTCTCTTCCCTGTTAGCAAGCTGATCACTGATGGTGCTTAGAGCATGAGCAATGTTTCCAGTAACAGCAGGCTGTACAAAAGCACTTCTCTGAGAAATAAGTGACTTCGAAGCGGTGATTGTTTTTACTGTGGAGGCTGGTGGAGTGCTGCTGCTGACCATTTCTGTAGAAATAAATCTCTCAGGGACATCTGTAGAACTGGGAATATAGCTTGAGATGCTGAAAACCTTCTCAAAGGATGGTTGTCGAAAACCTACAGCATGTTGGAAAGAAAGGGGGGAAAAAAAGTATGTGAATATTATGAGACTTTTTTTCCTTCTGAGGGCAGGGAATGTCTTCTGAACAGAAAAACGTACAGCCCCTTCATTCTATGCTTCAGGAAGTCTCTCCATGTGCTACATCATAATACATGTATGCAGTAGAACCTAACTCCTAACTGGCAGAATTGGAGAAGACCAAGGTATTCTGGCTACGTCCTTTCCCACCCTCACTATGGCCTTTTCTTGGCTGGAGGATAAGAAGAAAGCACCATCTATATGAGGCAGACAACAGAGATTTTCTCCCGTGCTGGGTCAATAAACAGCTTTATTGTCAAAGCAAATTACCAGCTCCTTATACTGCTTCCAACTAGATAACAGAAACAGAGTTTAAAGAAAAGCTACTTCTTATGGTTCACCAGTGTGTCTAAGTGCTAGTAATATGCCTAGAGTCTAGAAGCAGATATTTAATCACAAGTATGTACATGCTTATACTACTGGTGCACCATGGACAGTATTTTAGGTGAATAATCCACCACCTTGTAGGAAAAGCATTACGAAGTTTCTGCATGGGTTTTATTAGTGGGATGTTTCATGTGTTTTATAAGCAACAGAGACTGACTCAGCCTCCTCACTGAAAGGAGTGCAAAGTGAATAAAAAGTTCTTCATATTCTGCCCAGGAAAAGCGGGTGGTCCGGCGGGTTGTGGAAAGGAGTATGGCACTGTAATCCCAGAATGGCAGAATGACGTATATGGGCTTTTAGCATTATGGGGCAGAGAAGGAATGAAACTGGAGGAGGTTATCCAACCTAACTTAAGCTCTGTCCCTAACCGCATTTAGAACGGTACTAGAAAATGGTCTACAAAAGGTTAAAACTTTACTGAATCTTATTACAGAATGCTGTCTTTTGCAGCCATTTTTCAGCCAATGAAGAATTATCCAGCACTGGCAGCAGAGCGAGAGAGTTTTCCTCCTCCCCCACTAACAATTCAGAGATAAAGGGAAAAGACACACAAGAATTTCCTGCAAAGAAAGCCCCAGCAGGCACAGAGCTGGAAATGCCAGCAACAGCGTTTTTGGAATTTTGGAATTAAGACATTCACTTGCCATATCCTTCCCCTTTCCTTTGAGTTAAAGTAGGAAAATGGCATTTAACATAATGCCATAAACTTTTGCCTATCTCATATAACAGATGTCCCTATCCCCATGTTACCTATTTTATGTCAGTGGTTAATCACAAAAACAAAAGGCAACGATAAGAATGTCATACATCAGACTGTCAATAAAATGACTTGACTGACCTAAGGGATTTGTGGATATTGACATTTCAGTCTCATTTTTCAGATCAGAACACAACCCCAGTAATGAATTAAATGGAGTCAAACTGAAAAATTAAAGTGAATAACATAAAACTGACTAGAACCTTTATTTGTCAGCTATATTCTTATCAGTATGTGAATCAGAAATTCCATTTTCTTCATGAAAAAATCACCTTTATGCCCTCCAATTTCTCCTGTGGAATCCTTTCTTTCAACATTAGTATCTTCAAAGCTTTCTAAAAACAAAAGATGTGAAGGCACATTAGTAGTTACTTTTGTTTTAACTGCAAATAAATTACAGAGTTAAAGTTTTAGTACATAAGAATAACTCAAAATTCAGAAAGCAGATAAAGAGCAAAAATTGTTTCTTAAAAGTTTTCAATACAGTATTTTAAAAATACAAGTTATTCAGTAATTGCATTGTAACTATACGTTTGGGCACCTTATTTGGCAAGTGCCTTGATTTGGGTAAATAGTTCTATGTTAAGCAATCTAATAGAACAACATTTTGTCAATAATTGCTCATATTATGAACATAATGCAGAAAAAAAAAATTTCATTGTATTCTACTTTGATATAAAAGAATTGGGGTATTGTGTATCTATTTTTTCTAGTCACCTGAAAAAGTGCTTTACAACTATGTGACCCAGTGCAGTCTGATGTTGTCATCAACTGAAATTTTGTCCCAGCCATCAACAGTCAGAGACACAGTCCTGTTTTGCTGACTACTGAAAAGTTCTAAGTTACTGTTAGAAACATGAAGCACAACCAAAGGTATTTTATCTGAATGACAACAAGATAATAGCATTCTTCTGAAAAACAAATAATTTTACCATAACATGACTTCCCATCTCCTTGCAGATTATTTGGGCATGGACCACAATAGTAAGAACCGAAAGTATTGAAGCAAAATACTCCAGGGAAGCAAGGACTGGATACACATTCATCTACATCATCTTGACAATTTTTACCTGCATTGAAACACAGATTTTTTTTTTTTTTTTATAATATTGTGTCACTACACTTTTTGACAGTGTGTTTATAAAAGATAAAAGTAGAATGCATGCAGGTGCTGAAATACAAAAAGGGGCATCTATCAAGTGCAACAAAGTGTTTCAGTGCATCAAATAAGTACAGCTGACTAGGTTTGCTATTCACATTTTTTCATCTTATACCAAGTATCTTGCTTATTGTGGAATATGGAGAAGGTGGGCTGTGAGGACTACATGTTTATCTGTAGGCATAGGAGGAATCACACTGTAACCAAACTCATCACTCCTATGTTTCACCATGTTGCCGAGTTTACCTCTGTGGAGGAAAACAGTGGTGTGCTCTCATAATATAAATAACCATTGTATTCATGCAAGAAAAATCTTGAAGTATATCTTATAACTTTATCACAAGACCATAAAATTTCTTCATATTCTAACAGTAAGCTATTTGCAGTCAAAAATTAAAAAAAAAAAAAAGTAGACATAAAATTAGAAACTCCTATTTATCACTACATGTGATAAATACGTGTAAATAAAGTAGCAATTTACCTTGAAGTTCAGGTGGACATTCACAGTAATAGCTGTTTATTCCATCCACACATCTGCCAATACCACACTGGTTAAGTTTACAGTCATCAGTATTCACTTGACAGAGATCACCTTCAAATCCAGCCACACACACACAAAGATATCTTCCACTTCCAGGTGGGAAATTAATGTTTGTCACACATGAGCCATTATTTAGGCAATCACACGATTTTACACTGACCTACAAGACATGCCCAATAAGACAGTTTTCTTTTTTTAATGAACTAGCAATGAGTTTTGTAAATAGATATCTTAAACATCTTACTAGTAGGTGTCATTTTACTGTAATATTCATTACCTCTATTTCTACTTTAGTCTTTGCATTGCAGTCATCTGTCAAAGAAAACGTTAATTTATGGAGATTCATTGACGCAGCTTTCCACAAAAGGAGACCTGATGGGGAAAGACTGGCACCTTCTGGACCAGAATCCAATGTGAAATGAATAGCAGAGCCCTCTGGATCTGAAGCCAAAAACTGATATACAAAATCTTCTCCATAAAAAGTCTGTAGCATACCCTGAAAATTTTCAAGCACTGGAGGCTGGTTATCTGCAACAAAGGAAATATTTTAAGCAAAGTTGCAATATACTTATAAAAATTAAAAGGCACATATCTTTCTATTAAGGAAGTCACATGTAATTATTTCTCTTAAATTCTAATGTCATTTGAATGGCACAGGAAAAACACTAGGTATTTTCGTTATAGCTGTAACAACATAACCAAGAAATTACTTATACTACGCAAAAGCTGTAAAGATGCAGTGCATCTATACATAGAAAGAACTCAGAATTTATTGAATTTTAAGCACTGTGTTTTAACTATGCAGAGATAGTTTGCAGATGAAAGTACAGGAAGCCATGAAACTCAGAGGTGATGGTGTTTCCTTTAACAAATGAATAGACATTGTTAAGCAATACTTTGGAATGGGCTGCAGTGACCATCTTGGCAAAACTGAGCCTCAGGTGATGGAATAAGTTATTCACTCGTTCCTAGGAAGGATTTCAACGACACAACTTACTCACTGGTAAGTGTTAGTCTATTTAGATGCCTGCACTGTTGAGCTCTAACCTATTTGGCAGGAATAACTAGATTTCTAGAGACACCAAGTGACAACAAACAACCAAAACCCCAGCACCAGAATAAGTTCTGTGAAAGAGAGAAGCAGAAGCCCTGGGGAGAGTGTAGGTTTTGAAGTTGGACACAGGAAGGTGATTAAGATTGCTAAGTTTTGGGTTACAGTGAAGCGAGCGGTCCAAGCAGGAACCCACCCACCGTGGCAGAAACCACGAAGGGAGAAGAAGCTGTAATCAGTGTCTCAGCAGTTAGATTCTGACACCCTCTTCCTAGTGTCATCCAATCTGGAGAAAAGGTTGCACTTCTTGGTTTGGGGGAATTGCCTCTGGTTTACATTCTTCTCCCATTTCTGACAATTCCAGTCCGTGGCTGTAACATGGAAATCCCTTGACTCCCTGACTGCTGGACAAGTTTCATTTCATTCATTTCATTCAGGATTCATTCTTTTGGAATAGGTATAGCTACCTTGGCTTTCGGTACAAGTTTGAACTAGGAAAAGATTCAGCAAGACAAGCACCAGAAGTCCCACTCATACAGGACCTTTCCCAATCCAGGCAGAGTCTTGCCAGCACATTCACCCATTAAAACACTGATGGAACACTTTTATTTGAGATGTTACGGACTTGGGTTGACGGGGCAGGCTGGATGGCTACTAGTAAAGCCCCCAGAGGCATCCCACTTGCTGAAGGGACCAATATGATTTGTATATCCAAAGACTAAGATCTGAGCCAAAAGACCTATAACTTCTAGGCTAGAACTTTGTACTACGGAGAAGGAAAATGAAGAATCCAGACCAGTTCGTCTTTTCATAGTGCGGTTTCTAACTGGACGGAAGTATGATAGCCTCGGATATACTTTCAAGTATTTGTTTAGGGCATGTATCTATGCCATCAATGTGGATTATGTCCAAATATTAAGTGGCTAATAAATATAACATGCCATTTAATTCAGTTTGTGTTCTCATCTTGTTTGGTATCAGAGTCATTTGTTGGAAAATATCTTTTATTCCTAAATGTTGAAGACAAACATTTGTGGATGTAGCTGTGCCAAATACCAAAAGACTTCAAAGTGCCAATTAGGCTGACAGTTGTTAATTATCATTAGTTATTTGAAATGGCTACTGGGGGGGCAGGGGAAGGGGAAAAAAAAAAAAAAAAGCCTTTTACATGTATGCTCTGAAGAACAAAATATCATTTTCAGAAATTAGGAGAAATGTCAGATGAAAACCAAGATTAAATTACAAGCTAAAGTAGGGGGTACTAAACTTTAACTGAAACACTTCACTAGTTAAACTTAAAACTTCACTATTTCCATGAATTTAAAAACTTAATAGATTTTCAGCTTCTGGCTATTAAAAGAAAACTATTTAGAACTTACTTTCAACAACTGACCAAGTTAACTTTGATATGTCAGGTCTGCAGAGTAAGCAAGGGCTGGTTGGATTTGTGTCACCTTCACCATAACAGAGTCCATCTATGTTGCATGTTTTCTCCTTTAAGAGAAATGACAATGTGATTCATTAATTTTTGGTTATCAAACAGTAAATCCAGATGAATTTGTAGAATGTCAAATAAAATCTAATCTAATCTATTCTGCACTTCCACGAAACAACTAAGGTTGTTTTTAAATCTAAACAACTGACAGCAGTTTGGTTTTATTTGGTAATTATGTAAGTGCTTTTGGTTTGAGTTTTTTTAATTCAAAATTGCCTCATACCAGCTTCTCTTTCTGTGCATGGAAAATCCCTGTTGGGAACAAGAACAGGGTACGTTCTGCTGATTTTTCTAGATTTTTTTCTGCCTGAAAAGATGCATGTTTTCATAATAAACATAGAGAGTAATGAAATACATACCTTTAACTGACATAACGCAGATTCTTGTGGTTCACATGTCTGACAGGCTCCATCATATAATATCATTGTTTTAGAGTTGCTATAAATTACTCCATCATTAGAAACCTGCAAGATGTACAGTAAAAATGGATTAACCCATACAGGCATCAACATATGACCAGCGTGGACTGCTAGCTTGAGCTTCAGCTCATTGATAGACACCTACATTTAGCTGTTTAAACTCTCCTAATAGTCATCACAAGTCTAATCAATCCTGCCAATAACTCTAGGCAGATATTTGACCAACCACATGTAGGTATCTACTTTAGGGTAAATTGAATAGTGTGTAGACTCTATTGACCTTATTGACTCAATCTGTATGACAGCTCAGATATCTACGTCACACAGGGATTCGTACATGTAGACTGGGCTCAACTCAATTTTTCCATAAATGTGTCTAATGTCATTTGAAATCCTCTAGGGTAACTACCTGGCCTTTATCTTCTACTCTTGAAGAACGTGTGTCTCTCTAGGTGCTAGGTCATATTTACCAGTCCCCTTGCAGGAGAATGCTCTAAAATGGCACTCAACACTTAAGCTTAGGTGATGAAACTGAGACCCCAAGTTAAGGAAGCAGAGTTTCACCTTTAGTACCATTTAAAAAAGGGTAATATCTATGTAATATATTTTCATCGCAATAGGAATATCTGTAAGTGAATATTTGAAATTTCTGCAAGTACCTTTATTTGCCACCTGGCAATGGGTTTATCATCAACCAGATCCATGACATCAGACTGCTGGCCATCCTTTGGTAACTGGCAGTCGACAGTCCTGGCATTTTGAAAGGCAGCTGGCATAGTTAGAGGTTCTCCAGGAATCCATTGTCTATCATAATACTAAATGTTAAGACAGAAAATCTGTTTTTCAGTGAAATACATTATGAAAATATTTTTATCAGAGAAAACAACCATGTATTGCACAGTGTTTGAACAAGTCTAATGTCTCTGGATGCAGTGGGAAATACTAAATGCCATTATTTGCACACATAGATTTCTACCTATGCCTCCTACTGTGGAAGAAAAGGCAGAGAAGTCTTTCCTGCCGCACGGCCCTTTGGCACTGCATTGCCAAGGACAAACAGTTCTTCCAGCTGGAGAGTAATGGGAGGGTTAAGCAGTGGGTGATCCTCTAACAGCACTGACCTGATGTGTAAGTGCCTCTATCCCTCTCCATCTCTGCTCCCATGAGAGGACAAGCTTTAGTTGAAGGAACAGATGAGGTTTTTGGCAGGGCTCAGGTATCATTCTGAGTGCTGGGGGAATACTGGCAGTTAGCCATTAAGCCCTTGCACAAGCCAATAGATTACACCATTAAGACTGTAGACTTTTCTTCTAAACTGCAGTGAGGACAAGTCATCCAAGGATCTCGAGAGTTCAAGGTAACAGAATAGGGATGATAGTACTATTTGATGAAGTATTGATGTGGAAGCAGGGATAAGCATACTGAAAATAAAGTTAGATGGAAGTAAGAATCCAGACAGACTAAGAATCAAGAAAACAGCAAGATCAAAATAATTTTGAGCTTGACTAGGTTTTACTGAGCTGGCACATTTTTTTCAGTTACTGGAGCCAATCAAGACATTTATCCAAACAGAAAAATAACAGAAAAAGGAAAAAAAATGCTGAAAAGACATATCAGCTATTTTTGTTCCAACCAAATGTTTTGTTTTTCTTTCACCCTATACTCAGTTAAGGAATTCACAGCATGGGTGAGTAAAAGTGTAACAGCTAAATATTTCTAAATATGTCATTTTGAGTGTATTTAGTACCATAACCTTTGAAATGTGATGCAGTCTATTTCTCCAGAAACCTTTTATTATTAGCTGGAGGCAAGTTCAGATAATTTTTTCAGAAACATATTAACCTTTCAAAAACCAATTAAAAAAACCTTCAAGATCTACTAGCATTCTAGCTCATTAGGTTTATAGAAAAACTTACTTCTGCAGTTCAACATAAATAAGAAGAAACTAAAACTGGATTTTTTTGGCGGGGAAGTTAAACACACTCTCATCCTTTACAAAAATCTTAGTAAATTCTGGATCTGTATAAACATAGGTTCCTTGGCCCTGTCCTACCCAAACCTCTATCAAGAGATGTGCAGTCCGGCATCTGTGAGGTACTTCAACAGAGAATTCTCTGAACCACCTCTTTTAGCATCATGCATGAGACCTACATTCTTCCTAACATGGTAGGACAGCCCATGGACAATGGATTTGATTTAACCTTTCAAAAGTGAAAATATAAAAAATACGAAATTAAATGTGTATTAGCTCTAAATTCTGTCAAAATGCGTTTTCTATGAAATTTTGATCATTTAAGTTTAATCTCAAAATACGTGGAGTTCTGCACTGTTGCAAGTCCATTGACATTTGCATAAAGTCACTACTACTCTGGTCTGAAAATTAAACAAACAAAACTAAACAGAACAAAAAAAAGCCAAACATCCTTTCTTTTGTGTTTTCAAGGAAAAAATTCTCAGCTTCCTCCTCAACTGCAGATAACAGCAGTGGTGTTCATTTTCTAACCTGGCTCTTGTCGGTGAGATCATCATCAATAAAAGTGATTCAATAGAAAGCTTTTGTAACTGGGAGCCAAATACACCACCACAAAGAGTGTTATATCAGAATATCTTGCCATGAGTTAAAACTGAGACATTTCAAACTGTGATGACTGAACTCCCAATAATGGTCTCACTGTGAGCTTGGTCTAAAAGTCTTTTAACCTAATGGAGTGTAAACTTACTCTCGACTTTATCATTTCAAGCCAACTTGCAGATGAGTGGATACATGTTGTGTTTAAGAAAAATCTATAGCCAGCATTGCTTAATCTGCCAAAATAATTTTAGAATCTGCTGGAACTAACTAAAGAAAACTTGTCTCAAAAACAAAATTTTCCT